CTGGGACCCAGTGACTCCTCTCCACCCAAACTGGGACCCAGAGACCCCTCCCCATCCAAACTGGGACCCAGAGACCCCTCCCCATCCAAACTGGGACCCAGAGACCCCTCCCCACCCAAACGGGGACCCAGAGACCCCTCCCCACCCAAACGGGGACCCTCCCCATCCCTTTGGGCTCAGCTCCTTTCTTTCCCTGCAGCCATTCCCGGGTGCCACAGGGCAGCAGCCCTGGGACACCACTGGATCCACAGGGAACAGCCCGGTGCAGCCACGGGAAAGGTGGATGGAACCAGACCCCACTGCAGGAATAAAATCCTGATTTTGACTAAAATCCCTGACTTGGGGAGTGGGAAGGCGCTGATTCCCCTTCTCCCAGCAGAGCCGCGGAGCCGGCAGACGCGAGCGACGTCATCCGCGGGCTGATCCGGGAACTCTCCAACCTCAAGTGAGTCCTAAATCCGTGTTCATTTCCCTGGGATGGGGGGTCCAGCAGCTGGGGGTGACGCCTGTGTCCCCCCACAGCCGCCTGGCCATGGGTGCCCACCGGGGACTGGAGCTGCTCCGGAGGCCAAAGCCACGGCGGGGCCGGAGGCCAGTGCCCAGCGGAAGCCGCTGGAAAGAGGGGTAGGGGCGTCAGGAACTGTTGTAGAACAGCAATTTATTGATGGAAACAGTGGGAATAAACCACCCTTCATCTGGAGAACAGCTCCAGTGCTGACTATTGGGCTCTTCCCACCATCGTGGGTGAACAAATCCCACCAAGCCCACCCAAAACACTGAGCAACGGCTGCGGTGCTGCGATAAAGGCTCTGACACTTGGAGCACCAGCACCCTCCCAGTCCCTTCCTGGCCTGGGATTGTCCAAAACTCAACAATCCAACCCAGAACATCCAGCGACAGCTCCAGCACCTGGAGCACCGGCTCCTTCCCAGCCTAACTCAACTCAAAACTCAAAACAAACACAGAACTGAACTGGCACCGCTGGCAGAGCACCCAGATCTGGCTGGAGCACCTGGAGCACCGGCTCCTTCCCAGCCTAACTCAAAAGTCAGAACTCAAAACTCAACACAAAACACAAAACAGAACTGGCACTGCTGGCAGAGCACCCAGATCTGGCTGCTCCAAAGCTGGAGCACCGGCTCCTTCCCAGCCTAACTCAAAAGTCAGAACTGAACACAAAACACAAAACTGAACTGGTGCCTCTGGCAGAGCACCCAGATCTGGCTGGAGCGGCTCCTGCAGGGTCCCACGGTGTCAGGAGGTGGCACAGCGTCACACAAACCCACGCAGGCCGGTCCCAGCGGGAAGCACCGAGCCGTGGGCTCTGAGGAAGTCCCTGGAAGAGAAAGCAGGAGAGGCAGGAGCACTGGGAAGCACCAGCACACGCCCCTTGGTTAGTGCCAAACTCCTGCTGGGGTTCCTTGCAGGAATCCCGTCCTGGATAAATCCAGGCTCCAAGCATGACTCCTTCCTTATGTCACCTGTTTCCCAGGTGCCTCCTCCTCCTCCTTCCTTCGGCTCTGGCTCATCGCTGAGATTCCCTCATGGGAATCCTGTTCCTGGCTAAATCCAGCCTTGGATCCAAAAATTCTGCACGGGGACATGGAGTCTTCCATGCTTTGGCTACTTCCCAGTGTCACCTGCCACCTGTTTGGTGCCCTCCTTTGGGTAGCTGCGATTCCCTGATGAGATTCCCCACGGGAATCTGGCTAAACGCAGCCTTGGGTGCAGCACAAACACCGTGGGGACACCCCAAACCCTGCAGGGGCATCCTTCACTCCCAATTCCACCCTGCCGCTCCTCACGGGATGTGCCACATGTGCCGTGGGATGTGCCACATGTGCCATGGGATGTGCCACATCACAGCCCGCGGGTACCTGCAGGGGGACGCGGGATCCTCCATCTCTCGGCTACATCCAGCTCTTCTGCCTCCTCCCGGCGCTGCCGGAGCGCAGCGGGCGGGAGTAGACGGAGGTGTAGCCTCGGTGTGTGCGGGGACAGAAGCGACGGGTGTGGGCCTGGTCCTGCGTGGCCCCGCACTGCGGGCAGACGTAGCTGCGGAGCACCGGGCACTGCAGGCGGCCCTGCGCGTCCCGCAGGCTGTGGCTCCGGTACACGCCCGGGGACTCCCCGTTGTGCTGGCAGAACGAGCACAAAGCCGGCTCAGAAGGTGGGGCCGGTCCGGAGCTCGGAGCCGGTTCGGTACATGGAGCCGGTCTGGAGCTCGGAGCCGGTCCGGTACATGGAGCCGATCCGGTACATGGAGCCGGTCCGGAGCTCGGAGCCGGTTCGGTGCTCGGAGCCGGGGGACACGTGGTCATCATGGCCGCCAGCCCAAAGTAGTCCCTCCACATGTGGAAGTGGCCCGCGGGTCCCGCGCGAGGCAGCGGGATGGGGATCCCAGTGCTCCCGGTGATCCCGGTGCTCCCGGTGCTCCCAGTGCTCCCGGTGATCCCAGATCCGCGTGGAGTGGGATACCACAGGCTTCTCGTCCCTCCAGAGCGAGGAGCCTCCGCTGTGGCTCGGGGCTGGGGGCCACCTCTGGCAGCCCCGCTCGCCGCAGAGCGCCCCTCGGCATGCGGCTCCCCGCTCCAGATGTTCCCGGTGCTCCGGGTGTGGCGTGGGGCTGCTTCGGCCACTGTTCCCGGTGGTGTGGGGCCGGACACCGTGCTGCTCTCCCAGCGCTCCCAGTCTCCCGGTTCGGGCCTGGACATAGCTCCACTTGCTCGGTGTCACTTCCTCAGGCCACCCGAGTGGTCACCAGAGATCCCGCGGGTGTCCGCGCTGACCCTTCCCAGGAAAAGGTGAGAGTCCAGTGAGAGTCCGGTTAAACGGGACGCATTTTGGCCATGGCGTCAATGACCACGATCAACCTGTAAATCACCGTGAATAAACCACTCCCCGCCCTGGGGCATTCTAGCAATCCCGGGAGTACCAGCATTTTAGGGGAAAAACACACAATTTTGGGTGCTTCAGAAGCTCCATAACTGAATGGACCACTCGGGAGCAGGGACCCCCTGGCTGCTCCTGCCGGGGGAAATCCATGGCTCCGGGAAATTCCAACCTGGTGAGGATCACCAGGATCCTGGGGATGCTCCAGGGGGCCACAGGATACACTCGAAGGTCGGTGCTTTTACCCCAAACTCACCCAAATTACGGCGCTGGGATTCACTGGCAGGATTTGGGCTCTGACGCTGTCCCCCTTCCCCTGCTGGGACAGGGGATCCAACACTGTCCTCCTTCCACCAGGAGCCAGGATCCGGCCCCATCTCCCCCCGGAATCTGGGATCTGCTCTCATCCTTTGTTCTCCGGCGGGATCCGGGGTCTCTCCCTGCTCTCCTTCCTGCGGGGATCCCGCCGCACCCTCCGTGGCCTGGCGGCTCGGGGACCCAGAGCTATTGTCCATGTGCGGGCGGGGTCCGAGCCTGCTGCGGGCATTGTCTCACCCGGGATCCCTCGGGAATCCCGCCGGGATTCCTCCCTAACGAGGCACCGAATCCAAGGGTAATTCACACCAGAGCCAACCCCAGCAGGCAGCGAACCCCAGCACCTTCCCAGGAGCCAGCGCAGCCCCAGTGGAGCAGGAAAACCCTCCTGGAGTGAGAAATGGGGAAAAGGGAATAAACTGGGGGGGGCGGTGGTCACTGACCAGCTGAACCCCAATTCCCCCGAATTTGACCCCAAAGCGGCTTTTGTCCCAGGACTGGAGAAACAGTGACATCCCCCCGGTGTGGGTGGGGTGTCCCCAGGTGTCCCCAGGTGTCCCCCCGCTCTGCTGAGCGCACCCCGCCATTGGCGGCAGGCGCCTCCCTCCGGGCACGGCCCGCCCCGCTCAGCCCCGCCCGCTGCAAGGCGCCGTTAACCCTTGCGAG